GTCCTTTAGCAGCTGTACGTGCAAAGTTCTCAACACAGTATCTAATATTAGGTATGATTCTACAATCAGACAGCATTTGTTAGACCATCTTTGTGCAAAGAATTATGTTGACAGCCAATTTAGCATTGTTAGTCAGGTTTGCAGTGTGGTGCACTTGCATGTTCTGGAATCTACATATTAATACACAGGGGCCTGTTCTTTGCAGACAGAGAATATGTACGTGCATTGCTCCTGTTTATACTCGATAAAGTAGGTGATTGTCATTTGCTGGTTCAATTCTCAGGGTAATGCCTTGATCAATCTCCATTAAATTATCTGCTTTAAAATATAAAGCCTGGCTGTTGACTATCGAGCAATGTTAATGGTTGAATTCTCTTTGGTAACACCTCCACCATCAGCACTCCACTCTTATAGAGTTGATATTGTTGCAACATTTCCTGATGAGCAGAAAATAAAAAGCCTTTGACAAAATTTTTAGTTTAGCAATATTCAAGTTCTGTGCTACCTAACAATTATTCAGGCAATACTTAACCAAGTGTCAGTTAATTTTATCCTAAATTCTTGTTTTTAAGCTTTTCTCCACACCTGCTGTTGGGCTGACTGGCTTGTCACTACAAGTTCTCTCATTCTCCTTTTTTCATCGCAAAAGTCTTCTGTCATGACATCCACATCTAAGGAGGATGAACAGGAGTCCATAATTTCCATTCCATGTCACACAGTAACTTACAGTACATCTGTCTCATCCAGACCGGAAGATCTTGTTACTTTAAGCACTGCTTTTATAAAAGGTAAACAAGAATATTTACATAGCCTAGGTAGGCTATGAGAAAACATTCAAGCATGTTTATCACCAAGGTTAATGCACACATGGCTGAAAAATGGCACTGACTGTAAAGTTTTCCAGAGCCTATGCAGGGACCAAATAGTGAGCATCAAGCCATAAGAGGGAAAATTAGAAAGGCTTCATCTGAGGAGAGTGTAACAATGCTGTGTGCTGACACCAAAATTATGCAACCTGTACAAAGAAACCATAATGAAAGATTTAAGTGTACCTCCAGGAGTAGAAGTTTTGAAGCATAATCATAAACTGACAACAGAGCATTGCTCACGGAATCAGAATAGGCTCTACAAAATGTCGTGGACAAATTAAAATCTAGACTTTTAAAATATGCATTGAGAATGGACACCAAAAAGACATAAGCAATGGTGGTAAGAAGAAATGCAGTACAAGAATCGAGAGTGAAGGTTGAAGTGGATAGTGTCACAGTGGAAAATATAGATAAGTTGTCTGTTTAGGATAAGTGCTAACAGAGGATGGCAGATGCAATGCAAATGTTATAAGGTGACTAGAGATGGCCAGAAGCAATTTTGGGACAATGTAGGATGTGCTAGTATCAAATTTTAATTTTGCAATTAGGAGAAAATACGAAACACTTTCCTGTATATTTTTGAAACCTGCAGAATAAGTAAAGATCTATGAGTCAAAATATGGTTCTTAGAAATGTGGATGCAAAGATGTAAGCTGAAAATTCCATGTATAGACAAAGTAATTCTTGAAATTGCAAGAACAAAAAGAGTGAAATTAAAAGGTGAAATCCAGAAAAGAAGATATCAGCATATCACCCACTTGAACAGCTTTGAAAAGTTAGCAATTTCTTCTAGAACATGAAGTGGAGAGCAGCAGGAAAAGGCATTGACTTTGTCCTAGTTGAATAGATTGGTTGCTATTCCATTCTCACATGCCGTTTGCCTTTCTTCCACTTTTTAAATGCACTCTGTACTTGATTAATTTTGGTTCTCTGCTGTATTATCAACACTACGTTTGCCATAATTCTTCTTTTCCTCATTTATTTTAATCTCTCTCTCTCTTTAGTTATCCAGTGAGCTTTAGCTTGAGATCACTGTTTGATTAAGTTAAAGGGAAGGCCAGGTTGTCTTGCTGAGTGAACAGTGCATGATGGTCGTAGCTGTAAATAGTGACCAGGGCACCTGTTCTGATAATGGATCAATTGTTTGCCTCCATGTCAGAGATTGCTCAGTAATGTCAGGCTTTGTAAATGGTTATACTTTAAACTGTCTACTTCCAAAGTTTGTATGTTCATTATACGCAGAGACTGCACAGAATTGTTTTAGTACCTGTGTGTGTGCATAAAGATTACTTTATTCATAAAAAAATTATTTTTGCAATAAAAATGCAGTGGGAAAGACCACAGTCTAGGATCTTTCTGCCAAATTCATTGAGGGTCTGTTCAATTATCAGGTGCTCTGTTTTCCTCAAATATATGTAAATACTTTCCTGCATGTAGGGAATACCTTTGGTTTTGCAACTACAGGGAATGTCAACTTCCAGTGCTTTTTTTTTTCTTGATACGCAAAGACTGAACAGACCTGCTGTAGTATCTCTTTATATATATATGAAGAATTTTTTTAATGAATAAAGTATATATTTGCAATAAAAAAGAAAAAGAGCAGGTGTAATACATGATCAGGTCATGTGATACAACAATTTGTGGAAAGGTTTGAATTTGGATCTGAGCAGAGAACGTGCAAGCTTGTTGGAATGGGCAGCGTTCTATACTACACTATCTAAACTTTTACTTTGTTTTGTTGAGAAAGAAAAGAATTCATCCCTGGAGCAGGTAGCCTCTCTGAGAGGTGGTGCTTTCCAAGAAGCTGACATACTAGCCAGCACTTCAGCTGAAGAAAGGGGGTCTGCAGATATGAGTGGATCTTTGACTCGTTAAAACACTTGCATTTCTGATTTGGTGAAGTCATCTCTGACATTCTAAAAGCTTGTGGTTTTCAGTATGTTTGACTGTGTGACTGTTTGTTCTTGGAAAGTTGGACATGTTTGTACATTGTAGCAATTTGTAATATTTTCCTACCCAAGTCAGTTTTATTGATAAAACCGACTGTTACCATATTTAATTCAAGAAAGCTGTCTGGCTTAATTTTTGCAAATTGCATGCAACCAACTACGTAATGAATTGGCAATACAGCATCCTATTCTTAAATCAAAACTTGTTGCTATCAAACAAGGAATGTTAGGAAGGTAAAATTAGTTATCTCTTCTCATTGGTTATAACATTAAGTTTGTTTCAAGAGGGAAATCCTGAGGGTAACCTAAGCTGCACCAGTCATTTTGGCTACTGGAAGTTAACTGGTTGGAAAGAAGAAAGAACTAAGTCATTGGGAGCTAAGAGTGGTAGTTACGCAAGAATTAAGTGCCCACATAAAGGAACAAATAGTCTAATTGTGGAGGGGACCTTTGTTCAGTTCTGAAGAAGATTCATACTGGACTCCCAATGTTGACTATTTCTGTCTCCCAGATGCTGCCAGATCTATTGAGTTTCTCAGCATTCTGTGTTTGTTTTGTATTTCCACCTTCTGTAGTATTTTGCTTTTAACATCCTAGGGGATTTTCCTATTAGTTCAAAAGTTAGATGTTTTCTGTAGTTTAGAGTATAAGGTGCCCACTGAATAGTGTTTTGAAAATTAAAAGCAAAGTACTGCAGATACTAGAGACCTGAAATAAAAACAAAGTGATGGAGAAATTCAACAGGTCTTGCAGTATCTGTGAAGAGAAGCATAGACTTAACAATTTGAATCTAAAGTTATTGTTCTTAAGAACACTGATAGTATTTAGACAATGTTGCTTTGAGTTTATTATAATAAAGGCCTTGAAACTTAAATCTGAGATTCTTTCAATAATCACCAGGAATTTGAATATCTTTAGTGAACTTTTGGGTCTCTATGGGAATCATAATCACTGTGCTGTAATCAGCACCGTTCCACTCTCCACGTTTCAACTGTTTCCCAACTTTGAGTCTAGTGCCTCTGAAGTAAAATCACAAGCTTGAGTAATGGATCCTATTCAATTGGCAAGCAGGCCCACAAATAGAGGATTTGAAGTTACCATTCACTGTCTGACTTCTGCCATGTGATATCCCTATTTTCCTGCACTCTGTCTGTAACCTGAGTTATACTTCCTTGCTTCTGCCTCCACCAGGTCAGTGCACAGATATCCAGGGCATAAATGGCACTTGCTGCTTGAAGTGCTTCCTATTGTTAAGGGGTGCTTTGTATTCACTTTGCTTCCCTTTTGTCGTTGCTTGGCATCAATCCGGTTGGTTTAGGGCTATTGTGCCAATCACTTTTTCACAGTTAGTCTTGGTGCCATAAAGGAATGGAACTTTGCCATTCCACCAAACATCATAACGCTCAGTTTGAGAGCCCCTATTTTAGTGTATTTTCCTTATGGTAATGGGTCTGGTCTGTACCCAAAATAATCCTGTCTCTATTCAATTCTGCCTGCCTATTTTTGATTCAGACCAGCCAGGGCAGATTACTTTTAGTTCACTGAAATTAGCTTTCATTCAGGTAAATACTTTTGGCTTCGACTGTTCCTTATTTTGTTGCGTGGCTGTTCTAAATCTTTTAATGTAATCACTGTTTCTAAAATGATCCCACCTGAAGCATCCTTAATTTGTCTCTTTTTTTCTCCCCACAACATTTCAGCACTGCTGGACACGTACAAAATGTACAGAAGTGATTACTTATTTGTGCTCTGGAATTGTATGGCTTAGACCCTGGTTGTTCTTTGCATATTTCAGTTTCTTGGGAAAAACCAAGATATCAGGACATATATATAAGATTAACACCCAAACTCAGAAATCAGTAGAAACTTCTTTGTGCATGAATAGGTGACTATTTGGGAGAGGGGCTTAAAGCATCAAAAAGAACATGCTCAAGGATATTTCCTAACTGGAAGAAAATCTTCTACAAAATTATGGAAAATGCTGAAAAATGCAGCAGGATAAGCAGCATCTGTAGAAAGCGAAACAGCATTAATGTTTCAAAATGTTACTGCTTTTCTGTCTCCACAGTTGCTGCCTGTCCACTTAGAATTTTCAACATTTTCTGTTTTATTTCAGCTTTTGAACTTCCAGTTATTCTGCCTGTTGAAAAGAAAATCTTATTATCTGATTTGATCCTTATAGATAAGAAGGCTGGTCCTGATTCTGTATCTTCCGAAGTGGCAACCAAACCCAGTTGGAACTTCACCTCATCTCAGGTTAGTAAAAAAAGGAATATGGCAGGGCAAAGCATTATTGTGATGTTTTAAAACTGCAACTACCTTTCAAAGCAAATTTTTGTAACTCATTTGGGAAGTATACACTGTAACATGAATGTAACATCATGACATACAGTAATAAATGTATTATCAGGAGCCTTTATAGATTAGAAGCAGAATATTTTTATTCATTCTCTAATTACCTGTGAGATCAATTAAAAGTTGGTCATGCTGTGGGAAGTCCACGTGATCCAGACCAGGCAAGGATGACAGATTTCCTTTCCTGAGGCCATGAGTAAACTATTCAGAGAATACTTTTTACTTCTGTGCTTTTTAAAATTAGCTGCCATGATGGGAGATGGTCCTGTGTCCCCAGAGAATTAGCTTTTGGGATAACTAGTCCAGTGACATTACTGTCATCCCTTATTCACTCTGTTAAGCCATGGGTTTCAAGTCGATTTAGCAGTTGATTTTTTGTTTGAAGAGGGCAGAGCAGTGGATGTGATCTATATGGACTTCAGTAAGGCATTGGACAAGGTTCCTCATGGTAGGCTGGTTAGCAAGATTAGATCACATGGAATACAGGGAGAGCTAGCCATTTGGATATGGAACTGGCTCAAAAGTAGAAGACAAAGGGTGATGGTGGAGAGTTGCTTTTCGGATTGGAGGCCTGTGTCCAGCGGTCTGCCACAAGGATCAGTCCTTTATAACTCCAACTGTCCTGTCCCCGCAACATCCTGGTAAATCTTTGCTGAACCCTCTCCAGTTGTTAAATCTTTGCTGAACCC